TTCCCAGCACCAGGAAGGAGCGGGAATAGAGATAGCAAGTTCCGCGAGAACGTAATGGGCTGGATTGAGCAACAAGCGACTGAAGCCTGGGCTCCAGAACAGGACGGGGCCAAGGCGCAGGCTGCTGTCGATTTTTTGACGGTTTTTATCAAGCCCATCCCCGTCCCTGAAACCGAGCAAGCTGAACCACAAATTCAGTGGACCCAGATGGACCGGCCTTCGTCTTCCACTAGCACTAGCCAGAATTCAGGACAAACCTCAGGACATGGGAGGAGGTACGGGAGGTATACAAGCGGACCTCCCACACCGAATGAGAAGGACCAACGAAAACCACAAAGGACCGAGAGGCAGGCTGAGAAGCGGAGGGAGGATGTTGTATGATGAGATCTTTCTCTTTTGCGTTGCGAGTTCGAAGTGTTTGTAGTTGTACCTGAGAATTACTGTGATTTTTTTTCCTGACTTATTTTCTTGCCAACTTCCCTACCCCGAGCTCTAGGCCTAATCGGAGACGAAAAGAGCAAAGAATCGTGAATAGTCTAAATGCAACAGGGCCGCCTGGTGATAACCATTACGCCTCTTGTTCGAATGTATCTTCCCAACCACCGTACTCCTCCGGCTTATCGTCCTCATCCTCCTCGTAGTCCGGATTAGCCCGCAAGGGAGTCTGATACTCCCCTCCTTCCTCAACCACCTCACCTTCTCCATCATCCTTCTCATTCTCATCGATACGATACAACTCAACCTCTTCCTCCTCTTCGTCGTCGGGAGTGGAGCTTTTCTCGGGCTTGAAGAACTGGTCGAGCACGGCGTAGTTGATTTTCTTACTGTATTTGGGGTTCTTCTTGAGTAGATTCCGTACAGATTCCGCGGCGGTGGTTCCATGGGGAGTCGATGTGTCACGAGGTTTCGTGCTAGTTTTACGGCGCTGTATGGATTATTCAAATGATGAGCAAGGGTTTCACGTGGGTAAAGCGTCTGACGAACGAACCTTTCTGTTCTTGGTCTCTTTGCCCAGGGGGTTCTCCGCCATTTCTGCTTTAGCTAAGATACGAGGTAAGGTTCTCAGATCACCACGAAAGGCTTCGACTGGCAAATTCGCAACCCACCAGCAATGGCCTCGAGATAATCCTTGTTCATCTCCACCCAAACCCTCTCCTTGATCTTGACCTCTTCCTCCGTGAGGATGAACTGATCCAATTCTTCATCATCCAAGTCCACAAACTCGTCAGACACTACGACCGTATTCCGTCGGCTCTCAGCCTCGTTCAGCGCTTGGGAAACTTGCAATCCCCGATCTGTCTGTAAGACCGAAGAGACTTCCTCGGCCACGGCATCGTCCACAACCTTCTCGAGAGGCGATGGTGGTGGTTTCTCGCGGAGTGCCGGGTCGATGTTTGTGTCTTCGTCCAGCTCTACATCCGGAAGGAAAAGCGGGAGTCCTTGGCCGGCACCCATTCCAGCCCCGAACAGTAGCGGATCGAAGTCTTTCGAGACCTGCTTGATAGATTCTTCCATCTCTGCTTCTACATCCTGCGTCTCCTCTTCTTCCTCTTCCTCTTCCTCCTCTTCCTTGTCCCTCTCTCGTTTTCGTTTCTTCCCTTTCAACTTCTGCCGCTCCCTTTCTTCTTTCTCGTTCCCTTTCGTAAACGCAGGAGGGTCCTGTTCTTCCTCTAACCAAACTCTCCGGAAATCAGCTAGGGTGAGCTTCCCGCTAGGCGTCTTTCTGAACTCGTCAAGTCGTTTTTTCAGTGTGGTATCCGCGATCTTCACAACCTGGACAATTTCCTCGACGGAACGTCGAAAGTTATTCATTCGCGCGGCTAAGAGCAAACATGCACCGCATATACCGGCGGGGCGCCTGCCCTGCACCATCCAGTCCCGGTTAAATCGGGAGACAAGACGTGTGGCGTCTGCGGCGACTTGTTGGGTTTCATCACCGAACTCGAGAAGCGCGGCGTATCGATTGATGAACCAGGAAGGATCGGAGAAAGGGATGCGGAGGTTGAGGGTTTGGATCAATTGGAGATAGGTATGACCAAGTTCGAAAACGTTGACCTGGACAGCGGTTAGGGGTAATCTATAGATGTTGGGCAGTAGACTTACCTGCAGGATATCTGCAAAGTCGATTAACATGAACCGGTTCTGGGTAGTTTGTTGTCTGCAAGCGACATAAAGACAAACTCCAACCACGAGTGTGCTTTTCCTTCCTTTGGTGAATTTGTGCTCTACGGCAAGAGTATACGTTCGAACTGCAGCCGTTGCTACAGCTTCTGAGATACGCATAGCGACCGCAACACTCTGAATCTTGCGTGAGGCTACCCATGTATCAATAATCCATTTCATGGTAGAAGATCGGCTGCGTGCACACCGTTCGCTATCGTCTGTTCTCTCGATTCACCTCCTCTGCGGTTGCCCCATGGCCCTCCTAACCTAGCACGTGCTATGTGTTCGGGGTCAGCCTCGCAAACCGAAACAAGCACAGGAAACTTTTGACTAACTGGCGCCTTGGGCTACATAGGAGCCTTGGACCATCGCCGCACCGGTAGAAGTCTCGCCGAAGGAGATTTCATTGACTATGGTGTTTTCCTCGATAACGGTTCCACAGTTTGTACAGTAGCCATTGCCTGCTGCGATATCGTATTCGATAACGCCTTCCCCACAAGTAAAGCAGACCATCTACGGTGCATACTTCATCAGAGACACATCAGAAGTGTGGGGTAATGTGAGCGTAGGCTTACTTTGGTAGAAATAATAGTAGAAGGGCGAACTGAAGCAGCTGAATCGCTCGGGATGAAATCCGGTCGGGGCGACGGACTCCCGCGGAGGAGGCTGTGACAGTGATCGAGTCACATCACGTTCTCCCCCATGGGTTTTCCCGGGCGACCTGTTTTTCAGCGACAAGGATCTGACCCACTGATGTTGTTGGCTTCTTCACCGACCCGCGCTGACCGTCCCGCAGCAACTAGGGTGTTTCTCAACCTCACGCATGTGGTTTCTATCGTGACAGGATCGTCAACCTTGTTGAGGATCACCCCCTTTTGAAAGCATGAAACGGTGTGTAAGTGCAATGCTCCCCCTATTGAATATTGTAGGGGTATTCATGCTGTTGTTATTAGCCCACATTTCAGGTGTTCGGCAGTGTGCTTTCATTATTTCAATGGTCGAAGGCATTGTCCTTCCGCTTCCTCGGATCTCTACGCTGGAAGGTATAAAGGGAAGCGCGAAGGTCCACGAGTATAAATAAACTCCCTATGCCTACCAATTGTCTCCTCTCTCCTCCATCTCACCGTTTCCTATCTTCGCCCTGGTACAATTTTGAATTATGGTCAAGCTTAATATTCTCGCCGGCGGGAACGTCGCCTTCATCGCTTCCTACCTGTTCGACAGCATCGACAGAACCTTGACATTGATCCAGCGGAACCCGTCGGGGGAGAATGCCTCTTGGATCGAGAGATCCATTGTAGACCCTTCCATCCTCTAGTGAACCGCACCGTCCTCCAGCATTCACACAATGTTGTTCACGCATATCTTGAACCTTCAGTGCTGTTAACCAAGTCAAAGCTGGCGCCATTCAATCTTTCACCATATTTGAGAACGGCACCTTAAGCGGCGCGATCTCGTCTACTAGCACTGGTGGGAATCGTCCCGCGCACGTTTTTGCTTCACCATCTGGGGAGGTAGCCGCTATGAACGTAAGTCATCTGAGACTTGGCCTTATAAACTTTGATTCGTGGTTGATCACCCATGGATCAGTATGGAGGAGGAAACGGCGCTATCGTGAACACCGAGAATAACGGGATCAATTTCGGAGACTCGACTTTCATCACCTTCCCACCTATCGGCTCTAGTGGTGTCTCACATCCACACCAAACCATTCAGTTCGGGAACGAGTTGTTTGTACCAGACTTGGTAAGTATAAAGTAGTCCCTTGACCTGTCTCGAATTTCCAACGACATTCATCCTCAGGGAGGTGATACTATTTGGAGGCTCGTTCCCAATCAAAATGGAGTCTTCTCGATCGGAGGAGAAATTAAACAGCCTGCCGGAAGCGGTCCACGCCATGCTGTAATCCACGACTGCGTCCTGGTCATTCTTCACGAGCTCTCAAGCACCATCACCTCACAACGTATCCCGCCCCTGGGTCAGAATAGCTCGGACATCATTTCCAATCTTACGATCGTTCCGAAGGATCAAGCTGCTTTGCCAGGAGCAAAGTTCGCTGCTGCGGAGGTCTTAATCCCTCCACCAAACAAAGCCTTTCCCTCCACCTTGGTCTATGCCTCGAATCGCAACATAGGTCCAAATAATGATCCAAGGGGAGACTCGATCGCCGTATTTACCCTCCACGCGGATGGGAAACTCCGAATCATCAATCAGTTCTTTACGGGGCTAAAGCAGGTCCGGGGAATGCAATTCGGTGGACCAAATAACAGGTTCCTGGTCGCGAGCGGTGTTGTTGGGGATGGCGGTGTCGTGCTCTTTGAGAGGGTCGGGCGGGGGGCCAAGTTCATACAGGTCGCCAGCAACAAGGACATTCCGAACCTTACAAGCTTTGTGTGGGTGTAAACGCGATCGGCTCCTTTCCTGAGGTTTACCATGTCATACGCTTAATAAAGTCATTCACCTGAAATCTCACTGGCCTATCCTATACCCTTGAGTGCGGATAAATGTCTTTGCGTGTTGGTAGGCCACCAGGTGCCCAGGCGTATGCTCGAAAACGCAGCGGTCATCGAGTTCCGGCGGGGACTCGACCTGCTTCTGCAATTGGTATCTAAGTCTGAGGTGCGGTATCGACCAACGGCTGAATACGGTCAGAATGGAAGCCGCGGATGAAAGGGTTACCGCCCAGCTGGCGTAGCCTCCCATACTATGCTAACGTGTAGATTTCGGATAAAGGCACATCGTATTGACGAGAGGTAGTCTCAACGCATGAAACCCCGTTTCCTTACCGCAAAATGGATCTGCAGGAACGGACAGGAAGGATGGTAGGGCAAAAAAGCTGGTCAATACGAGGCTCGAACTCGCGACCTTGGTGTAAACTCTCAGAGTATTAGCACCACGCTCTAACCAACTGAGCTAATCGACCATACTGTTTGAGTTAGGTCACCCTCATCAGTATCAGTTCAGCTTCTCACTTGAGCTGCGCACTTACTATTAACTTGAGAATGTGACCCTAAATTAACGATTTTTCTACTCTACAAGCCGCTCGCTCGTGTCCGCCATGAAAACCCACCTGTTATACGCCCTCACCTTCTTGTTTGAACTCATCACCGCGTCTGTCCAGCCCCAAGTTGTGCTTGGCGCACCGGACGGAAGCATCACCCGCCACACCACGCGGAGTGGCAGGACGGATGTTACCTCCAATTTGATCTTTTGGTCGGTAAACTCCTTCCTTCAACAATGGCCTCACACGAGGTACATGAACGGTTCGGTTCTCTATCGTTTACTTCCTCCCCTGAGAGTAACATTTCTCGGCAGGGCACACGATAACCGCGGCGAGTGTACCACCAGGAACGCTCTTATACCACGGTCGATACGACTCAGACGTGCCGGACCGGCTCGATTGGGTTGCAACAGATGCGGATCACAGTATACCATTTTGTCGCGGGAAATGCTGGCTATCCACCTTCGTCACCACCAGAACCATGCGTCTGGTCTACTTTGATGGTTTTAGTGGTGCCAAAATTCCTTGGGGAACGATGGATTCCCAGGACATTTTCCTTTGGGGGAAAATCCAACCGGAGATGACCCGGGAGGAACTGGTCAGGATCAAAGAGGCGTGCGATTGGGCAAAGGGATTCGGCATAGATGGGTTCGTGAGGTGAGCACCACTCGATGTTGTCCTGAAACAATCTTTGACGTACCTTGAAGGGGCCACATAGGAATGTAAGTGTGGTCTCACGTCATTTTGGCTCTCCTGGTTGACTTGACGAAAGTGAAATAATGATCTGCGATTTTGCAAACGGCATAAATCTCGTATCACATTCACAGCTGGTGCCCTGGGACTTGGGGTTACTAGAAAAGGGTCATATCACGACCTCCATTCTGGCGTCGAATATGTCACCGGGTTTTATCCCTCCTGTCGAGGATCCCCCAGATCATCCAGTCATACCAAAAGGATGGAGAGGAAGCATCAGTTCCACTATGACGACGATCTTCGAACTTTTCAATTCTGCGCTTCGGTACAACCACGCTCCAGATGACACGCGTGTCAAGATCGACTACTCTCGTGTCGTCACATTCTTCGATCCTGTCCTAACAAGTTTGGTAGCGGCCAGGGCCAACACGATCAGAGATTTTTACCGTCTCGAAAAGATATCAGTGGAGGACGTAAAGAACTTTCAAGACCAGATCATGGATATATTCACGCGAAAGGGACACGGCAGTGGAATCGATTGGGGCAGCATCACCCAAGTCATTATCGACCGTTATGGCGGTCGGTTGGAACTCCTGCGTCATATCCTAGAAAACCCAGATTCGAAGAGGAACATCACCGAGCAAATCGTTGAGGCTCGGTCCCAAATCCTCACCATGCTCACACCGTACATGTTGACTTCTGCCATTCCACAGGAGTCCACAGGTCCCGTTGACCCCTCTTGGATAACGCCAGTAGTTGAGCACTGCGCTTCCACCCACACAACCTGGGCCCCGCAGGACCTCCTCACGAAACAAGAGAAGGCTATCAAAGTGGCAATCGAAGGCGTACTCAATGAAATATGCAGCACGTTGGGCGAGTTATGGCTCGACGCCTTCGATGCAGAAACCGCCGACATCGAGACAGGTCATCGTTTCGTTTCCGCGTGGCGTAAGGAAATTGTGGAGTTGATGGACTGGCTGGATTGGCCGATTTGGCTCAAGTGCAACCCAGCTTGTGGAAACGAGGTTTAAGAAATCATTGCTTCCTCAAATTCGGATTGCTGATTTATTATTCATCTGTAGGAAGTGTGTTATATAACCATGTGGCCGTGTCATAGAGTAGATGCGACGCCTCGGTGTGTAGAGGCTGTCGCTCCGTACAGAGGGTTTAGGTGTGAGATGTAAGGACCCATTCAAATTTGGGTTACCATTACCCTCCGAGCCCACTGCGTGGTGGACCAGAGTGCCTTAATATCCGTCTTCAATGAAGGGGGGACCGGATGTATGCTTGAGAATTTAGAATACACAGTACATTGTTTTGCTTTACCAGGGGATACACTCGGGTACGAATATATTTGTCGCGGATTTAAGCGTTTAGAATAGAAGTGTAAAAATTCCAAGGTAGATTTGGTTCAAATCGAACCAACCTTCACCAAGGCAAGCGTGCTGTAAAAACGTGCGAATCCACCGAAAAACAGAAGAAAAGGGAAAGGGTGCAAACGAAGAACAAAGGGGGTACATCCTCACGGAGGGTTTCCTCCGAACTTGCTACTACAAACTGAACCTGTTACTTGAGGGATACGTGGGGGGTGGCCTCTGAAGAGGAAGACGGAGGGTGTCCATGTCCAGCTTCTCTGTAGAATGGCTGGAATTGATGGAGGAGAAATACTGGGAGAAGGGCTGGGCGCGGCTGGGTTCTTCGAGGTAGTCACTGAAGAACCGGAACTGTACATACGCCATAACAAGCCTATCCGGACGTATGGTCAGTTAGAAAAAGAATCCAATATCGGGTCTATGACGTATTGCTCACGCGAGGCCAATGGAGAGACTTAATGTGATCTGCGTCGAGATCGGGGGTTTGTATGGCAGATTGCGCAACGCCTGATGTCCCCCATGAGAAAGGTATTGATTAACGAGTGAATGAGAGAGACGTACGAGAACATGTGCATTGTTCCCGTCAAGCAAGTGCCGAAGTCCCCTACTTACGCTATTTTGTTGGTTTGCAGCGAGGTCGATGCCAAGTGAGAGGAAGAATGTTCCGGTAAACGTGCAAGAAAGGGCCTGTAAATACTCCCATTAGACATGGTCTACCAGTTGCGTCTCAGGCAATAACACGCACAATGCCTATTCGTTGTCTGAGAAGAGTCACCACGAACCCAGCCACTGCACACGCGACGATAATAATCCAGTTCAGACTTGTTGGGTGTATGAGTAACCCCTCTCGCATCAGAACAACTCGCATTCCAACCGACATCCCACCAAGGATACTCAAAGCAGTCAGTCCTGCCAGACGACAGAACTTGAAAAGACCACCTAGGGACCCGAGCACGAAGAAGCTCAAAGTGATGAGCGTCAAAACGAGGTCTGACAGACCTGCTGCGTTCGTGACATTCACAATCGCCACCCAAGCTATAAAATGAATGTAAATTACGTCGATTTGATGACAAAGGATCTCCAGATGACGACGACGACTGACCACACAGCGCAAAAACCAGCCCAATCGCAATCGCCGTCGTTATTCTCCACAACCTCATCCCGCCCAGCGTCAAATACAATCCGACTGTCAATCCAAACGATAGCCAGAGTACCGCCGGAACGCCAAAAGCAGACCCCGCTCCATCAGAGGCAGATCCCTGATCTATACTACTCTGATCCACGGTGTTCATCACTATACCTGAGGCCTCGTCCACTACGACATTTCGAGAAACCGCGTGAATAATGCGCTGGGTGGGGATTGAACCTCGAGTATGATTCGTCGGTAAGGCGAAGGCGAAGCTGGCCGTGAACCAAGGGAGTACTGTGACCCGGAGAGTGAAAGCGCCGAGAAATCCCATCGTGTGGTGAAACAGAGGGCGGTTTGGTAGGCCGTCGATGAGACAAGAAAGATGAAAAGGTTAAAGAAGGCCGATGGAAATGACAGTTGAGAGGCGGTTTCCAAGGGGTCGCTGTTCGAAAATCCAAAGCAAACTACCTTCCCGAGCACCTTGGAGGAGGGTGAAAGTGAGACCGTGCGGAAAAACGCACAAGACGGGATTCAATCGATTCCCCACCCAAATTGCCAATATGGAAGGTTTACGACTCGAATGAGGAGCCCGCCTCTCACAGAAAGAAGAAACGAGAAACGAAAAAGGGAATGGAAAAAAAGGGAAGAAGTACGAAGAAGGGACGGGGGAACTTGTGTCAAGCGAGGGGACAAACCTTGTTTTACTTATACCTTCGGTAACCATCCCCCCGCGACGGGCCACACATCCGTTAAATACGATCTGAGAGAAACTCCCATGAGACCGAAGTGACGGACATTACAATCGAGCACAAAAACAAAGCCGCTATGTTGGAATGGCAACAGACGCGAAAGGCTCCCATAAGTCATATGGGCTTGAGTAGTTCTCATAGCTGGGAGCCCTGCAAGGATCGAGTTGATGGTTGTCACTGTCATAGTGCCTGGAGACTTCCCATCCTGATCGAGAGAGATCACACCGCCGATCATCATCGTAGAGCCTCGGTGGGAAACGACGACCGTGATTGAAAATGACACCTTTGCCATAACTTCTTCTCATCCATTGGTCTCGGTGCGGGAGGGCAATTATTTTCCAGACACGCAAAGAATACCAACAAACGTTCAAAACAATCATCACGGTAGCACCTTTGGCTCCTTCACCCAGGCCTGACCATTTTTACCTGCCACTATCTAATCTTATCTCCTATCTGACTGGTCGCCGAACACGGTTCTTCACTGCACGTGCGGCCATCAAGAGATGATGACTCGGCGAGTTCAGCCAAACGAGAATCTAGAAGAACACCGACAGATATCTCAAACTCTCGCATCTCACCTCGAAGATGCCTACACCAGAAGAGCCCACTCCGGACTTAACACCACAAACCGAGTCAACCCCAGACAGCTCACCACTCACACCGCCTCCTCTCATTACACTCCCATCCACGTTCCTCTCACGACTCACACTACGAACGCAGCTACCGTCAGATTTCGAGCGTATAGCCGAAATCTTCAGTAGCCCAACCGCGATGAAGCACCTCGGAGGGCTTTCCCCGCCTGGTGGGTGGACCGAAGATCGTACTCGGGGTCTTTGGTATCCGTCGGATATCGTAGCCCGTGTTGAATTACAGGAACTGGCACGTTTGGAGGGCAGAGCTTTGGCCTTGGTTATCATCTGGATCGAAACAGGAGAGCTTATCGGAGTTACCGGCTATGTGAGGATGGAGCCGCCTGGT